GCTGATGAGGCCTAAGAAGTCTTCAGGAATGGCTCATGACTGTCGCCTCCTCTACAAATACTCACTAATTCCAAATTTACAGCTATCACAGGAGAAAAGCCATGGTGACTGAAATGAGGCAAATTGCTTCATTGTATGAAAGTTTGTGTCAGAGGCAGCACAAGAAGTTGTAAAATGTAAATCTCGTGCTCTCAAATTTCCCCGTGTTTTCACAGAACTGCATCTGTGACTGTGCAGCACTACAAAAATTTCCTGTGAATGTGCTAATAGGCCTTATGAGAATGTTCTATCACCATCCATCTGTCACTTTTTAACAGGCCTGATTGGCAAGCACTTGTAACAACTGACATCTGTTCTCGCTTATTGATATGTAGATTTATGGTAATTGCTGTGAACAATAAGACACAAAATTACCTAAGGTGAACATTAAATTAAATTTTCATGCCCCTATCCTTATAAATAATTTTTTAAAAAATCTTAAGTTTCAAGCAAGGCATACTGTGCTTCTGTTTTGTACATAATTTAATTGTTTTTTTAATCTGCCAAATAACAAAATGAAAGTTGAATTTCCTTGCAATCTTGAATATTTGCCAAGCTGATAGCACATTAGTAAATACATGTTATTAAAAATGGAATCAAACTGTATTGTGATTCTGGTTTTTTTAATCATTTCCCTTTAATTCCCAACATCGTCTCCATCATGAAGATCAAGAGTTATTCCTTACCCAGAAGTTGTTTTTTTCCTCTACAGGGGGATTTTCATTTTTCATGTGCAGCTCTGCCTGTGAGGCTGTTCTTCAGTGTTAAGCAATTTGCATTTCTTCAGAGAGAGGTGCATTTGCTGAGTGAGCAGCACTTCCAAATAAAAATTATCTACTCATTTGCCGTCCAGCTCTGTTGCGGGATTTGGGACTGTTTTGAAAAAGCTGTAGGATTTGAAATGTATGAAGACAGTGTTTGAAAGGAGAGGGAATGAGAGAGCAGATTAGTCCCACAGAACTATACCTTAGCTGAAGTTCAATTGAACCAAAAATCCCCATTTTAAAGGAAAGTATTTTCTGGGTCTGGGACTTAAGAGCATTTGGTTTCCCTCCTCCAAGTTTGTCCTAGCAAGTGGGGTTTGACGAACTTGACAAGATGATGGGAGAAACCAATAAAGAGGGAGCAGAGATGGTAAAATGCCTGGGGAATGTGAAACAGTGATGACAGGACTTATTTTTTATACGTTTCAGCAGACAGAGATCCTAAAGAGGATGCATATTAAGTGACAAACCTGTTGACACCATCAGCTCTAGAGCATGCTGGATGGTGGCATGTGCCATGAGCCCTTGCTGACAGTCACATTTGGGTGCTCTGTTCAGCAGGGCTCTTTGCTGTCCCCTGTTATGCGAGTGTGACAACAGCTAGCAGTCTTTTTTCCTGAAGGCACCCAAGCTGACACCCTGTAACATCTGCAGAGCTGGTTTGTGTCCAGCGTCTTTTAGTCACCTCTACAGTAAAACACACTGGGTGGGGAGACAGCTTCGTCACCGCCTAGCTCTTTGTTAATCTTCTCTTGGCACTGAGACTGTTGCGTCAAGTTGATGGGTTCCTCTTGTGCGTCCACAGGAAATGTTCCACTATTTTAAAAAACTGGTTTTGTGGGATGAGGCAATGCTGGTGCTTGTTTTGCATCCACGCAGGCGTGATGGTGGTTTGTGAGCCCAAAGAGAGCAGTTGTTTGTTCCGCTGCCTGTTGTGCCGGCTTCACTTTTCCTGGAGTGCTGTACAGTGCATGTGTGCTGCCTTCCAGCTTCACAGCCCTCTATGCTCATCGCCTTCACGAGCCTTGCATGCATGGGCAAAGACATACACATAAAATGCAGTAGAAAAAGCTGTATTAAATTGCTTCAAAACCCATTTGCATCTATAAACTGAGGTTTGGAGAAAAGTCCATGTGTTTTACAGAAGCATGCAGGATTTCATCTAGGTGAAGTTATTTTGTGGTCTCTCCTCTAGTACTGTTCTGTATTTGTTTGCTATTTTTTAATCCTGCTGTGTGTGTTGTTTAAAAATTCAAAGTGGAAACCTCCCCACAGAAGACCTGTAAGCTTATTATGACTGATCCTTCTGATGAATAACTAACCAGTGGGTGACAGAAAACCACACTGCCATGGTAGAGCAACTCACTGCTTTCCCAAATCTCTTTGAACAGAATATGGCCTCATGGAAGACCAGCAATGTTTGCTGGACATTCTTTGCTGAATTACTTACAGTTCTTACAAAAGAATAAGGTAAATTACATTTAAGGACCAAATATCAATCCAGGATGACAATGGATTCCATATCTTATTTTGAGAACCACCGTCTGCTTTGTTCCTGAAGAGCTGGACCCCATCTTAAGTCTTCTCCATCCTTAAAATCTTGTTTGAAATAATCTCCAGAATCTTACTGTTAAAGAAAGAGAATATTTTAATTAAAATATATATATATTTACACCTGAGGCAAGCAAGTAGGTCAACTGAGCAATTTAAAAAAATAAATTAAGATTATGCTTGCATATCTGAATTTCTATCTGAATTGTACTTTTTGACTGAAAAGTTCACCAGAGATTGAATTTGAAAACTGTTATGAACTTCCTTACCATCTCTGATTCCAGAAATTTATTTGTTAATATGATGCTGCTTCTAAAACTTAGTTCTAGACTGATAATTTAAAAAAAAAAAAAAATGTTTTAAAAATATTCAATCGTTTCCTCCTTTGGATTACTTTGTTCAAGATTTGTGATGTTTTAAGCAGTTTTATTCTATACATCTCGGCATTCAATATCTAATTCCTAAGTATTTATAACATGTCTGTGTAATTAAGGTAGTTTTCCCATTTTAGTTATCTTTGTATTTTAAGCACTTAAACTTCGTGAGAGCTGGTTTAGAAGACTGACCAAATTGCAACAATGACCCGTGATCACTTTATTTAGTACTTACACCTAATTGTCTAGGTTAATAATGATTTGTGACTGGGGTAGCTTTACTTCATCTTGCAAAATAGTTTAGGTTGGTTGTATTTTAGAAAAGCCTTATTTTTTAACATGGTCATTAGCCTCCAAAGAAACCTGACAGAGTTTTTTTGGTCACATAATTCTTCCAAGTGAGGCGTGCAGATTCCAGATTACAAAGTGGTGGATCTTAGATCAATTAAAACCTTACTTCTAACACTGTCGTGTCATATTTTCAAAAGCACCAACACCTAAGCTGACTTTGGGCATTTGACTGAGGCACAGAAGTCAGAACCTCTGCCAAGCTAGGTGCTCACCTGAGACCTGACCTGCCTGTTGCAACATTCTCTATTTAAATATGGGGGTTTATTCACAAATAGATGCTGATATCAAGGTTCATCTCGCAGTGCCTAATGCTGAGACAGTAGGGATACCTCTGGGGCTCACTGATACCTTATGGGGCTCACTGATTGTACCAACCTGAGCCTGCAACATTTGTGTTTGAAAGTGCTATCACTCTGCGTTATTGCAGGAGTTCTCAATTCCTAGAAAATACCTCTCCTTCACTGCTTTTTTTCTCCTCTCAAAAATACTTATAAAGTATAATATTTGATATCTTTTTTTTTTTTTTTTTTGTTTGAGAAAGTCTGCAGGGAGAAGTAATACCTCAATAAACAAACTAACATTCAGGGGGAAAAATGGACAAGTTTCCAGGCATTTAAGCTCTTCTTTGGGTGTTTCCCAAAACTCATGCAGTCTTCCTAGCTCTATCACTTGGTCTTAAAAAGGTATTGCTCTTCTTGCCACCTAACCTTTTGTGTGTAATTATATTATCAGAACTACAAGAACATAATAAAACTCTTCCATTATTTTGGGTTTATGTACTTTGTCATTTCTATCGAAGGCTCAAGCAGCATGCCCAGATCTCCTTCATATGTCCAAACCAAAAAGGATGATCTCTCACTGCCATCCAGTCTTTCTCATGTCTGTATATAGGCACCCAGTCTGGACATCACCCCTGTGAACAGTTATTTCTTACTCAGAGGATCCTGAGAAGGATCCAGACTGGTGAATGCTAGCACCTAACTTGTATCTGCATTTTAGTCTAGTGGAGCAGTTCGCCTTAGAGTAAGTGCCCAAGTATTTTGTCTAGTCCAAAGCAAAAAGGTAGGTACTTTTGAAGGCCTCAGGAAAGACAGACCCCTGTTCCTCTGATTTAAGTCAAATGAATGTTGCTTTGCTGTTCCTTAATCATCTTTTTGTCCATTTCACGTAAATTCTATTTATTGTTTGTCCTTTTTTACTTGTCATCTAAATTAAAGCCTTTGCTATTTAAATGCCTACATTTCTTTATGGTCCTCATTGAAATGCAGGTATATCTCCCCCAGATCTTCTAAAATAATGAAGTGACAGACGACTGAGTTAAACTTCATATCACAGTCCAGAGCTTATGGCCTGAAAGTCACTACCTCAATGATGGCTCTGTGATCAGACTGATAATAATTTGATGTTCTTAGTCCATATGTGTTTTTAGAAATTAACCATCAAAAGGAAAAATAGCACAATTACTGGCTACTGCACAGTGTAGTCTTAGTATATACATTCAGAGAAGACACAGGAAAGAAACTGTATTGATCCCAATTATATGACCCTGTCCTGAATGTGTTTTAAACATCGGTTATCTTCTTTATACCCCCTGTTGTGTCAGGAAATAGTATCACACCCGGGCTTCACACAGAGTTTAAATTACTTCTAATTCTACACTCCCCTTATAGAAGAGGCACAAACCGGGTTTAATTTTCCTGAACTATAGGCTGGTGCCTTTGCTGTATTCACTCAACTCCAAGGTAGAGAGGTGAAAGATGTTATTCAAGGACTGTAAGAGGTGATTCCCAGATTATACATGTCCTGGGAGTGAAGAATTGAATCTCTTGACAAGGTATCCCAAGTTCCACGTCCATTGAAAATAGCTTTTTTTTTTTTTTTCATTCTGTGTTTTCACTAACCCTGTTTTTTCTCCACACAGGCATGAACGCTTTACAATTACAGAATTTGGCAACTTTAGCAGCCGCAGCAGCCGCCGCCCAAACCTCAGCTACCACCACCAATGCAAATCCTCTCTCCACAACGACTGGTGCTCTGGGAGCCCTCACAAGTCCCGGTAAGAGCAGAGTGCTTGCTTTCAGAATACAAACGTGAGAATAAATGGGAAGATGACAATTAAAACCGTGATTCCATGCTGTGTCTAAGTTCTGTGCTCATACAAATTCTGAATACCCTTTTAATAGCTGTTTCATTGCTGTTATTTTTAAGCAAATAACTAATTTTTCAAGCGGTCTAATGTGGGCATGTTCACCTTCTCAGACTCATTTCAGGGGTCATTAAAGTCTAACAGACCCGTCTTACAAAACTTTACATGTAAATTGCAATTACATAGGAAAACTAAGCTAAGTTTAATTTTTCAGAAAGAATTCAGAAAATGAGCAAATTCTTTCCATCCTACAGAAAAATCTGCCGAGATGGTTCTTTTTAATCCCTAAGAGACTTTGATTCCCAGCACATCATGCAGGTGTGACCTTCACCCATCATGAATTTTTGTGGTCCTCTCTTTTTTTTCCTTCTCTTTTTCTTGCTGTAGTTTCAGTTGAGCTTTCTTCTTGTCCTAACTGAGAATACAGAAGTTACAGAAGTGGCATCAGATGCACAAGGAATACACAGACAGGTTCTGACTTCATTGCACTAAACAGAAGACAGATTTATGGGGGAATAAGGGACAGAATAGGAGGTGGTGGTGCCTTCATGATCACCATGTAGACATTCAGCCATGCATGTCCAATATCTGCAAAACCCTAGAAAGAAATCAGGGCAAATTCAGAGCTCAGTGACACTTCAACATCTCCAGAATCCACAGAGAGAGATGTTGATTCAGTATAGTTCCTCTGGATTTACAGTGATGTAGCTGAGTCAAGAATCTGGCCACTTATCTTTACATAAAGGCTGCAGGGTGTAATTATTTGCATCATGAAGTGTGTTTATTGCTGTTCTAAAAAACATTCATATTATTTTAGACACCACTAAAGAACATTTGTGTTTAATCTTGTTTAAGTGTGTATTTATTCCCCATGAAAAAGTAATTCATGGCAGACGGTTTGAGCTCATCAGTAAGGAAAACAGTCTTCACTGCACAGTAGAGCTGGGACTGAGAGTGGTGCTGGGTGTTAGAGCTGGCCAACACTTCCTGTTATATTACAGTTCTGTTGTTTGTTTGGGGGAGAGGTTAAATGGAAGGCAGTTTGGCTAATAAATAGTATGTTTCTGCAGAATTTTCCTGTTTCTGGTGTGATCCTCATCTTGACCTAAAAATAATATTCGTTTGCAACATCTCTGAGAAGCAGGTTGGGTGAAAATAATTTTGGCTTGCTGATTATTTTTTTTTAAACCTGATCAATCTCTTCCCTCCTTCTTGGAGCTGGGGCTTAACACTTTGCAAAAGGCTAGTCTCGGTGTCAGTGTTTCTGCGGTACTCCTGTCTAAATGTCACCCATTTATAGAAGTGAAAATGTTGCATTTCATGCATGCTCTGTAATATCTCTGCAGTTTAGCTGTTAAATGTCTAGTAGCCTGTCCTCCCAAAACATGCTCGACATTTCTTGAGCCATACTGACAAGACTTCTCAGGGCAACTCAGTGTACTGCACTGCAGTGCAGAGGAGCTGAAAGTGAACTTTCCTTATCGTTGCTTCTCTGCAGCAAAGTGGCACCAGAACCTCAGGCAGCAGTATGTTTCTGTTGTGGTCTTTGTCTTGCCATGTTGGCACAGGACTCCAATTCATCCTTACAGTCCACATTTCCCTCTCTCCCCCTCCAACACAGTCGTTTTATCCAAGCTTGCTGACTTGCTGTTCCCTCTTCTAACCTGGTCTCAAGGCTCCTTGAGTACCTGAAAGGTGGTTTCATCTGATGCCCAAGTCTGCAGAGGCACATAGCTAGAAGGGTGTTTCAGCTGGGCTGGGCGGATATTTGTGGGGGATAACTCATGCTTAGTATTGCTCAGGCTGATATTGTAGGGCAGATTAGCAAGGACTTTCCAAATAAATTAATGATTTTGGCTAACACATTGAAGATGTGTTATTTTCAAAAAATTCTGGACCTTTGAAATAGTATATTCAGAATGAAAATTGCTTTTGAAAGTCTTATAGATAGTAGCTGTACACAAGTGTTTCTAATATTAGAAAGCTTGGAGTGTCAAAGTCTATATCTAATAGGTCCGTTGACCTATTTATGTTGCACAGCCAACTTAAAACCAAACCTTGTTAAAATGCCCTTTGGTTTAACCTTTCTTATCTGGTTCTACATTCTCCACCCTATTAAATATTTTGTAAACCTGAATAATATCTCCAGTGATTCTTCTCTGCTCTATGGAAAATGAATTTAGTCTGATAAAGCTTTTCATAGTAGCTCAAAGTATTACCATTAAAACTTGAAATATGTTGGCAGAAAACATTTAGCTCTGCCTTTCAATGTGTGGATATTTGGAGGCCTTGAGGGTATTTTTATGGTCTACTTTTCTTTTAATAGAACACTTCAGTTTGTTGTGTTTCATAAGTGTAAATTATTTTGTCTGATTTCAAAGCCTGCACTAAACCCAGGAAGAAATGTTTGTGTCTCTCCAGATAATGCATTAAATTAATATTTCTCAGTTCAAAAAACTGCCCAAATTTGGGAGAGTGCAAAGGTTCATGATTAAATTTAATCCTTTTCTTGATGCTGTTAAAACTAAAATACTGCACAAAACAGGGATGGGCATGAGCATGTACTTCTGAAATACCTTAAACCATGGCAGCCACGTAAATCGTATCCATGTTTGTACCCATATATATCTCTCCTGAAGACCTCTCCTGAATCAATCTTTGACCAAAAGCTCTTGTTCTGTCCTTTGCAGATGTGTGGCATAAAAGCCCCAAAAGGTGGTTACTTCAGTTAAAAGTCATCTTGCAGCTCAGTTTTACATAAATAAGATTTCTCACCCTTCAGTGCACCAAGCTGTTACGGAGGGGATGGCAGTCAGGGCAGCTTTGATGCACTGCCAACACAGAAAAACAGCCCAGGAAGCGAGGAACCAACAGGGCATCAGATATTTGAGGGTGTCAAGTTTTGCTACTGGGTTCTAATGGCCATATATCCAAAAAGAGGAGAAAAATATTCAGCATCTGACAGTGACTGTTCTGTCTGTATGAAACTCCTTCTTCAGGGTTCATACAATTACATATTTCCAAACAAACTGAACTCCAGTGATCTTTCTCTCCTACGTTCTTACTAAAGAGCTTTGACCGCAAGAGAGTCTAAGGACACTCACTCTACTCCATGTGCTAAATACTTTCTCTTAAGCTTGAAACAGTATTCATTCAGAAAGAAGAGACAATGCAATCCCCCAAACTATTAATTTTTTTATAATTGTAAATTTATAATTTCAATTTTGCATACCCATGGAAGTCTCTCCCTACAGCATTGTTAGAAATGATTTTTTAAAAGCCTTTGCTTAAAAAAACATGAAAGATTAAGCTTTCATTTTAGTAAAAATCCCCTCAGGCAATAAATAGGTTCTTTTGTCTCTTGGCCCTGGAAAAAAATTAAAATGGTTTAAATTGCCCATGGTTAAAGTAACTGTTTCTTGCAATTATCAGATGGTAGTGAATAAAAATGAAAATGAAATCATGAAAGAATAAAAACCAGGTAAATGCATATTATGTCTTTCATGAGTTTCTCATGGGTCTTTTGAAGACTCGTTTAATCATCTTACTTGTCTTTTATTTTGATATGATAATTGTTTCCTTTATTTACTTTAATCACCTCTATTTAGTTAATTAATTCTTCACTTTCTTTTCATTTCTCTCGCTTAGAATACTTTCCTGATTTAAAGGCAGGTACCTGTAGTATTTCATAACATAAGCATTCGGGCTGGGGTAGCTTTTACCTGACGCAATTTTCTGAGCCAGTTTGTCTCAATTCCCTTTTGGTTAGGCCCTGGAAGTTTGCATTTCCCATTACCTGGGAAGGGATTTTGGAGGGACTACCTCAGGTGTAGGTATTGACACTAAATTTCCCAATTTAGACAGGATGAATCTCAGCTGAGTCTCCTCCAGAGACTGTCCTGGACACGTCCTGCAAATGGATCAACTAGCAAAGAGCTCACAGGGAGGCTGCTACTCCACACCCTGCAGAGCTTTATGGTTAATTCAGTGGGTGGTGAGAAGGCCTGGAGGTGGATGTGAAACACTGTCTGACATTTCATTTGCCTCAGTTGACCCACTACTCTGGTTTTCCCAAGAATAATAATGTTTATTCTGACTGTCCTGAGTGGTACAAGGTTGACATGGCACAGTAAAGCATTTCCTGATATCAGGAGCTGTGAAGCTCCTGATGTTTTTGCAAACTGATCTTTTTGCAAACTGATGTTAAGCAAGAGCAGAACTATGTTTTGTACTCACAGGAAGAACATAGAAGTTGGGTTTGAGACACCAACTTACTTGCCCTTCTCCATCACTGCATGTATTTTTATTATTTAATGCCATAACATTGGAGTCACAGGATCACATAGGGTGGTAGACACTTCCCAAAATCTCTACCCCAGGCTCCTGCTCGCAGCAGGACCACTCAAGAGCAGGTTGCTGAAAGTTGTGTCCAGTCAAGGTTTGAGTATCTCCAAGGATGGAGATTCCACAGCCTCTGTGAGCTCATTTCAATTTCGTTTCTTAAAATTCATGCATAAATGTTTTTTCAGTAGTCAGTAGGAAAGCCCTTCTATGTGCAAATGAAGTGGCGAAACATCTAATTATACATCCAAATTTATCTGCATAAACATACACAATATAACTTCTGAGCTGTGGGGGGATAGAATTGCTAAACCAGAAGCTAATTCAGTTTCAGACAGGAGCCTTGATTTTCCATGACATTTTCATGATTATTTGATTCTCTAAACTATTATTTATTCACAGAGCTGAACTAGCTATTCATGCTTCAGTAAAAAACCTCTTCAGGTTTATCTTCTGTGTAAACCTAAGAGGAAATCTTTCTGAAAAAATATACTGTCAGTGTACAAAGTAAGACTTTTCTTTAACGACCTCTTAAATCCAGCTCAGCTTTTCCTATATTATATCAGAAT